CTAATACTGCTCAGCGCTTGTATAAGTGACACAATTAATGATGAATTCAAATATTAATATAAATATTTATCGTTGGTTTCCAATTACTCCCAAATTTTTAATGTGCTTTGATTTGATTGCATAATAAGTTTATAACTCTATAACTATGATTTCATAATAAGCCCAAAATTTTATCCAAGACTATTCAGTAATGCACTTATGGTTAGATTTCTGTTGTGAGAATTATTTGTATTTTCAAAACCAATTGTTTGTAATATTATAATAACAGAAAAAATGCTTACATTTTGCAAAATTTATCTAAAAATCAAAATGTTTTATAATAGACTTAATCGCGCGTTGAACTCGAAATACATTAACAGAATATACGGCATATATTCCGTATGTATGTATAACTTAAATAAACAAATGCTTTATCAATAAAAATGTTATATTTTGTAAGAAAATGAAAGAGAATTTACCGAAAAAACTGTTAATATGAAGAAAGCTTAAGATTGATGTAAAAAATAACATATTTGTATAGCAAGTACAACATAACCTGAATATCATTGAATTGTACCATATTTATATCAAAACAATTTTTGTTTCATAAACTCATTTTATGTAAACACTTATACTAATATGTTATAAATAGTATGAGAAATATGTATACAAATGAATATTAATAAAAGTATTATTCATGAATATATAGTACCGTAAATCAATACATGCATATGAAATTAGAGCACGGATGTAACCTTGCTAATCGCAATGTTAATATTTATATGTAAGCTATATTCTAGCTTTATTATAATTAGATTTTTGGTTCACTTTATTTACATTATGTGTATAAACTGTGTATTAAACATATCATAACAAATTTTTATTTTATTCTTTATATAATAAACTGAGAATAATCTCTAAAAACTTAATGGATTAAAGGAATTAGTGATTAAAATAGGGAATTCCTATAATTTGTAAGTTGTGTGAAGTGTTGTAATTCACAAAACATATAAATATAAAATTATTAAAGCAATATATTTACACAAATGTAAGGAAATAAGTAATAAATGTATCGTAAAAATAATATTTGCGTTCAAAACAACACTCCGACGAAATTTACAATTAATTAATCAAATTTACCCGTATTTTGCAACAAATCGTTTTTCATTTGATTTATAGCTTATTAAAAGTAATTTTGTTTTGGGCTTTTGTATAAATCAAGACCTTATTTTCAGTAAATATATATTCAAATTACTATAAATCATAATTATAAATTGTTATAGTATTTTAATATTCATTGAAATTAACAAAAATATCTCGAGTTATAAATGGGGTTAAAAGACTAGACAGTGGCAGACCTCCCGTGCAGTCCATATGTTATTAAATATTATTTTATTATAAAACCAAAGACAATAAATTTTTATATAAGAAAATATAAAGAAAATTGATATTAATATAAAAGGGCGTATTTTCGCACATTTAAATCTCCATATAATACAGTAGTTTTAGTTATTGTAATGCGGTTTATATATGAATAACAATTAATTTAAATGTGTTATCAAAACCCCTACAGATATATGGCATTAGTCTGTAAATGCAAATAAAAATATAATATTAAACGATTGCTTTTTAGACCGAGATTTTATTTTTATTCATTTTCATCACTACTGAAAAAAGTAAAATACAATTATAAACCACTTTTTATAAGCAAATAATTAATTTTACACCAATTCGTCATATTCCGTGAGGTATTAAATACCGGTTAAACAAAAACATAGTAACTATTGTATGGAAAAC